GCGCGCCCCCCCCCCCCGCAGCCCCCGCCAGTGGCGGAGCTGGCCCGACTAGACCTGAGCAGCTCCCACGGCCGAGCGGAAGAGGAGAGCCATGGCATCCGATATGTTCGCTACGAGTCTGAGCTGCAGATGCCATGGATCATGAGACTGATCACCAAGGACTTGTCTGAGCCTTATTCAATTTATACATACAGGTACTTCATCCACAACTGGCCGCAGCTTTGCTTTCTGGTGAGTATGGCACTGAAAATACATGTATTCACTCTTTGCCTTTGCTTGTGAAGTCACACTGAGCTGTTCCCTCCTAGCCCATGGACTTTTGTTACCTGTAGTTGCATGCCAGTTTTGGGTGTGATTGTATGCTCATATTGTAGCATTGCATCACCTGTTGGTGTGTCTCAAAGGCAGCCAGGCATAGTGCTGATGTGTGCTGAAGTTAAACACACATACAAATGTCTGACTGACAGCACAGTGGTTTGGAGTTTGTATAACCCTAGTGTATGTGTTGACATGGTACAACCAGTTCTCTGCCACAGATTCTTGTCAGTTTTGTGAATTTTAGTCTGAATGAATAGCTGTCAAATTAAGAAAGATTCTGCTGACACGACAGTCATCACTGATGTCCAACCATCTGTGTAGAGGAATGTAGAAGCAAGCAGTGTTTTATTTTATTTGTGTTTTATTTATAATGTGTGTCTTGCACCTACCACTTGCACTGACTAGTCTGGGTTTTCTACTTTGAAAAACCAGATCCTCTTGTTTATCCTCTGAGTTTTAAGGTCGTAAACTTCCCGGGTTCGTTTTTCTGGAGTGCCGCACGTGACATAAGAGGAAGTGCCAATAAAACGGAGATTTACGGTCAGCTCAGAGAACCAGCAGAGCCGGCAGGATAACAGGAACTGCAGAAGAACTGTTGCTAGGCTTGCAGAAGCTATCTCATTGCACACTCAGGAGACCTAACTGTCTTCTGTCTGTCTGTGTGTGTGTGTGTGTCACAGGCCATGGTGGAACAAGAGTGTGTCGGAGCCATTGTATGTAAGCTTGACATGCACAAGAAGATGTTTCGTCGTGGCTACATCGCCATGCTGGCTGTAGACTCAAAACACAGAAGGAAGAGCATTGGTGAGACCTCTGCACTGAGCGTCCTATATAGACCAATCATAAAGCCAGTCCTTTGCATAGACCAAGTTGTTTTGTGCTTTCTTTGATATTTTTATGCAAATTCAACATTAACATAAGTTATACACTCTGAGTTGATGTTTTGTCTAACTGTGCGCCGTCACTGACTTAAAATCCTCTGTTCCAGGTACTAATCTGGTGAAAAAGGCCATATATGCCATGGTGGAGGGTGACTGTGATGAGGTACGATGCAGAGACCCACTACAGCATAGCTCATTCAGCTTTGTGTGTCTTCCTTTGTCAAACCACATTTCAGTGCATCCAGACAATTCTAGTCTATAATTACAGTCTTTTCCTTAAAGCCTAAAACACACTAGTGTTTTTTGCAGCCATGCACAGACGTTGGCACATGTTCACAAGCTGTGTGCCAGCATCCTCACTCACAGTGTTAACATATGCAATAGAAGAATCTCACTTTTTACTAGACCAGATTGTACAGAAAAAAAAATCTAAACCTTCTGGACAATACAACTAATACATACTGTAAAAATAACAATGCAATGGAAAAGGATTTGGAAAAAAATCATGTATACTTTTGGCAATTGGTTCTTTGTTGTTATTTTAGGTTTGTGTTGGCCAAGCTCCAGCATTGCTGAATATCCTGGCTTTCTCAACAGTTAGGTTCTTTGTGAGCATAAAAAAAAGCCACAAATGAAGTGGGAAAAAAAACTTGTTGCTAGTATTTCAAGGTCCAGATTTCCTGCTTCGTCCTTCACTTATCCGAGTTCACTGGTAACCTTGATTTGATTTGCAGCTGCTCTTGAGCCCTTCAACATTTTCTGCTTCTTATGCATGGTAGATTTTATTTATTTATTTTTTATTGATGTTAAATCTCCAGAGAGCAAGTAGATGCTTGAGGTAGAAATGAGATTCAGTGTTAAACTTCTTCCACCTCTTTGTTGACTGACGCTGAGTCGCCACCATAATGTTTTTTTGTTGGTCTGATTGTGTACTCATAAGGGCACTAAGAACATGATTTTGGGCATTTTTTTTATCAGCAGAGCAAATGTAAACACTATTAACTGTGTTGCAAGCTATATTTTTAAATTTGGCTTGGATGCTTTGGTGTATGAGGTATTTTATATGGATAACACATTATCTTGGAGCTGAAAGCCATACAGGCACCAATGTTATTACATTTTCTTTAAGTTGACTAAAATTCAGCACTTCACATACTTTCCAGCTACTTTCTACACAACACAAAAAAGTCATTGTTCCCTCTTTGCATCTGCGTTACGACGTAATAATATATATAAGAAAAATAGTTGACAGTAAGGGGCCGCTGTCTAAGAGCATGAGTCACAGTAGGTATAAGGACATTTTGCTGCTCTGCCATTTGTTTTGTCTGACTTAAGGATATACTTAAATTCTAGTACAAATTTCTGTGCTTTTTTTTGCCTTTGATTAAAGAGTCTTTCAGGTGGTTGGTGTCAGAAAACTGGATTACTGTACATCGACTGATTTCTGTATTATCAGTAATACTCCAGCAGTTTGGGGGCCTTTCTTTTTTTGCAGTCTTAGTTTAGTTGAAAATCATTTTCAATTTTGTATGTTAACACCAGCTGGAAGCCAATGTATTTAGCACACTTTAGCACAGACACGGGAAGAAGGTGGAAACCGCTAGCCTAGCTCTGTCAAACATTTCACTTAAGTAACTTCCAAACTGTCTGTCTTCATTTTCTATGTGTGTATGACACATGTCGAAATAGGACATGAGACTCTGCGGAGTAATTAGCAGCTATCTTACTCATTGAAGCTATTCTGGGCCAACAACAGCTGAGCCTCCAAACTACACACAGTATCTAAAAATGTAGCTGCCTTAAAGCTGTCTTGCTGGCTTTGTACACATTTGCGCATGTGCGGCTTTAATGAGAAGACCAGAGTGTTTCAACATGTAGCCTTCATCAGGGTCTGTTAAATGCACACAACAAAGTCCTTCAAATACACACACATATATATATATATATATATAAACTTGATACAAGCACATAGAAGCTCATACATATCAACCAAGTTTAACTTTCAAGGTTCAAGGATTTTATTGTCAATTCACCTTATGTGCATACAGCCAATAAGATGCGACTCAAAACCATGTACAGTCAGTGACAGTAGTGCAAACAGTAATGGGAGATTGTCAGATGGTTCAGCATCACCAGGGCGGTGGTGATGAGGTGCAAATAGCATATGAGGTATACATAGACAGTATTGCAAATGACCAACAGCAGCAGATATCCTGGCAAAAAAAATTGCCACTGTTAGGCTCCACGAACAATCAAGAACAACCAAAAGTGTTAACCTTCCAAGGATTAGTCAGGCTGCTTACTTACGAGAGCTCTGACGTGCCATTGTGTGTGTCCCCAGGTTGTATTGGAGACTGAGATCACCAACAAATCAGCGCTGAAGCTGTATGAGAACTTGGGTTTTGTCAGAGACAAGCGGCTGTTCAGATACTACCTAAATGGAGTGGACGCGCTGCGGCTCAAACTTTGGCTCCGCTAGAGGAAAGAAGAGGGGACGGGGGAGGGCGGGAAAGCGGGTGCTGTTTTTCTTGAACACTGTCAGCTGGACAGCCACAGCTCTGCCCTGGTCATTTCACTCTTACATACACACAGTACACAGATATTCACATAAAGAGTATGCACATAGGTATGCATAGAAATGAAAACACACCTTTTTGTCCTTGACCTCTGAACAACTGTTGTTTAGGCAGAAACGGACTGAAATCCCACGTGATGTTTTCATGAAGGGGCCCCTGATACTTTCTGTGATGGGGAAGGGGCAAGTGAGGGTGGTCTCTGGGATGACCTTGACTCGGGACTAGACGACTTTTTGACCATCAAGCTCTGATGCTGCATCACCCGGGACGTGAGGTGTGAGGCAGCTCAGGTGAGGACGTGCGTCCAAAGCCAAGAGGACACAGCACCACACCAAATCCTCCTGCAGAACAAAACGAGAGTAAGGCAACACCACCCAAAACAAAGAAGAGGAGCGGTAAAATGAGACTGAGCAGAAAATATTTGTGGAGTTTATTTTTCTTTTTTAACCTTGACAGTTGGACAATGGATGGAAAAAGCTAAAAGCTATAGTATGACTGCGTTTGTACAGCCTCAAGT